TCGTCGCCTCGGCGAGCTGAACTACGAGGTGATGCCGGACGGAACAAGAACATCATCACGCCGCCCACCACGACCTGAAGTCGTCCACGTCGTGCGCCTGAAGCCGTACTACGCTCGATAGGACTGTGGATCTAATGTGTTTCAAATGACTCTTTAGTTTGCCGTTCTTTTTATGTGCTTCGTTTTGTTTTGTGTTGGATCGGGGCGATGCACTTTTTAAGGGGGGAGTAATGCCGCGCGCCAAGTAGGCAGCGCGGCCGTAGCCTAACGGTTATCGCGCTTGCCTCCCACGCGAAGGGCCAGGGTTCGATTCCTGGCCGCGGCTTCGCATTTTTGATTACACTTTAATGTGATGTTCTGGTGAATTCGAGAACCGTCTAGGGGATGATTCGAGGTTAGAATGTTCTACGCGTCAAACCTTCTACATCGAATTCTCCAGAAGCCAACGCGTGTACAAAAGCGGCTCCGCGTGGCAAGCAGGAGTCAGTTTCGCCCCAGCGTTTGACTCTGCTGTCACTTCGACGCCCGCGACGCTCTGTTATTATTTTTTGCACCCTTTTATTTTTGGGCACAAGTTCGCCCCCATTAAACGTTTAGTTTCGTCAGTCTTTATCGCCTCGTCAATTGTCATTCGTGACAGTATCATCAGCACCACCAGAGCTTTGCCCCAATCAACATCACTGACCACATAGAAAGGCGGTCATTTTTTTTTTTTTTTTGAAAACTGCTGCGTGCCCGTTACAGGTTTTTTTTTGTTTTTTTAGTGGCGATTGTGATTACCAAGATAAGTTTTTCTTCTTGTTGGTTGTCCATTGTGCCTTCGGCCCACAGGCGACCAGCTCCGGCGACGAACAAATTGTCGCGCAAATGCTGACAACACTGAGTGGCACACTTCCACTGTCACAACGTAAAGTACTAGACAGATGCAGGTGCGACAATAGCCATGTAATTCTAAAATTTTGGCAGCGCCTCTAGCGATCAAAATCGAATATTTTTTTTTAGTCGCGTTTTAAGATTGAATTTTATTACACATTTTCACGGTGCTCGCGACCGTTGTTATCTTTGTAAAAAATAACAAGAAAAAAACTACGGGAAGATATTTGTATTGTTTGGATATGACAGTGAAAACGCGAGCTCTCTTTTGCTTGTTTAAACTTTTTTTAAATATTTCCTATTCTCTGTTACCACGCTTAGAAAGGTGCTGACGTACGCTTCTAAACGACCGTGTTACGTGCACTATCGAACGCTGCAGTGTCGCTTTATGTTTGATGCAAGCAATACATGGTCGCGTCTTATGCGCTCGCGCCCCCTGGCGGAGAGCAATGGGCCTATACCTTTGACGAATCGCATGAAGGGTGAGAAAATAGGATCTAATCGTGGCTTCCAAGGTAGCTAAACTTGCGGAGCAAAACATTCTTCGCTTTCTGACGTAGCGGGGGGAGTGACCAAAAGAATGCCGCAAAGTTTCCTCCTCCCTGCGCGCGCTTAACTTCGCAACTTTTGACGAAAAATCCCCCGCGATCCCTAAGCGGTGCACGAGAGCACGAGAGCACGAGACAGCGCGGGGAGGCGAGCGTTCACGCCGCTCGCTGTACGTTGTCTTTGAGCTCTCTATACTCTGTTTCATACTTAGCGTGCAACGCTGTCAAAGTTACTGGCGCGAGCGTGAGGCTTGATCTCGTTGATCATTTGCACGCGTTCTCGCGCAAACAAAAGCATAGATGAAGCCACGCGCTCGCGCCAGTAGCTTTGACGGCGTTGCACGCTAAGTATGAAACAGAGTATAGTGCCGACAATCCCGTCATGCCTCGCCCAGGCGAGGAGCGAGAGCGGACGACGAGAATTCGTCTGCTACGATGCGGCATTCGCACAGCGGAACTGAAAGAAAAAGCGAGTTTTCTGCTCGAAATCGCGTCCCGCGGGCCACAAACTCAAAAGCGAGCTTGAATTGTAAGCGTCTTATATTTCACGATGGGAGGAATCGACGACCCGTGTTTTATTTGCAAAATTTGAGTCGCGTTGTTGCCGTACAAACGCTGAAACCTACCAGTGTGTAATGAAAGTCGAAGGACAACCACAGAGGCCGCGAGATCTAGCATCACTTCTGTATGGGTGAAAAGTGGAACATCTTTCGACATAGCTCCCACAACAGAAACCTGTGACGCATTCACTCAGCGTCCGGGAAGGCTAAACACGGAGACGTTGCCCGAGGCTCAAGCAAAGTCATATTTGAACGGCAGCTATCTTGCCCCGTTGTATTTTGTCTGAGAAAGCTCTCGTTCTCAATGCCCTCACCAGGGAAATAAAAAGTCTTACAAAACGCATTGCTAGATGTTCCAAAGAACTGGATTTAAGCCGTATCCTTGCAATGGTTCCCTCATAATACTATGCTTAAAACGAAGCAAGTTCTTGCGCGTACAGTGCCATCAATTTTCTCAAGTGTATGCTATTTTGTAGTCAGCTGGTTTCAGAAACTTAGGCCGTCCGTAGATATCTCTGACAGCCGAGTTCCTTAATTGGAAGTCATCGCAATATAAGTTACACGTTGCAGCAACCAACGTTTATAGATAAACGATGGCAACGACTGGGCGCTCTCGCATTCCCACCCATCACGCCGAACAAAAAGGCGCTAGTTTTGGTTTGAGGTCGGTACTTTTCTACAACACCTATGGCGACAGCATCAGTCTGCACTCGGTGCATTCGGCAAGTTCGTTCGGGGCCGGTTCTCCGTGCAGCAGTCCGCGGGTGCAACGCATTAGAACTCTCACAGTGCAAGTCTGGATCGCGGATCGGGAGCCCGTCACTGGCCTCACCGGCGGCCATAGCTTGACAACAGGCAATACGCCGCGTCCTAGCTGTCTAGTCCTCCCTTCGTTTTCGTCCTTGTTGTTTTGACGTATTACATTATGAGGCAATACACGCAAGTCTAAGGGAGAAACACGCAAGAATAAGAAGCTTGTGCGCGGTGCTCGAGGGCGAGCTTTTATGACGTGCTGCGATGATTATATCAGGTGCTTGGAGATCAAATAGACATTCGTCAAACGTTCGAACATCGATTTAAAAAAATGAAAAAATGGGCCTGAGCACCACCGGCTTTACCGATGTCGCTTGCTTCGGTTGCTAAATAAATGGCACTTTCAGCGACTGAACGGCATGCTCCGAGTTTCAGTTTCAGTTCAAAGAAAAAGCTTTCACCATGAAGTACTATGTACGCGCGGTTAAAACGATGCGAATGTCCCCCGTAAAGGCCTTCTAACTTATCGTTTGCTGAGCTCTGATGACTCCGAGATCATGGATGACTCCACAATAATTCTCGGTAGCCCTTCTCTCATAAACACATCACAGTTAACGCCCAACAAAGTCGCCCTCGACCTTCAACCACACAACATTCATTTAAACAAGGTTGATATTCTAACGCGTTTAATACATAATATTAACTGTTATTTCCGGGAACCCACAATAATAACTGTTATTTGCGGAAACACGATAGAAATTTTATTATCGAGAACAACTTACTAACGTAATAAAATTAAGATTTCCCGTTTCTCCTATAGCATGCATTATATCGTGTCAAGTGATGACTGCCGGTGGTGCCGCTCGACCCCAGCAACACAGGCCTCTATCCGCGATCTAGCCTCCTAAGGAATCAGTGGTGCCAGTGCTATTAGACAAATCGTTTATTTGCATCGGTACACCCATGCCTGCCGGATGTCGGGACGAGGCGCAAAACCGTACATCCGGCCAATATTGAAGCCGGTTTTCGGCTGAAATTGCCTCGACACTCGCCAAGAAGCAACGTGCTGTTTCGGCGACTCGTGTGTGTAATTTCTTTTTTTCAGTCATTTTATTGGGTCCCGGGCCACTGTGTACACCCCAAAAAAGAAATGTCGTGTGGTAATTACACCTTGACGAGAAGCAGGCACGTAGCCGGGATTTTGTTTCGAGGGTGGGGGGGGGGGGGGGGGGGGGGGGGGGCGCCCATGACAATGTGCTTTATGAGGGCGAGGGGGGAGAGGAGGCCCAGCAAAATTGAAGATTTCGGGGGGGGGGGGGGGGGGGCAGGCCTTATTCCCCCCCCCCCCTTCCCGGCTACGTGCCTGACGAGGAGGGCTATTGTAGTTTTACATCTTTATAAAAACGTGTAGTGCATTATCACACATTTTTAAAACATGTTTAAAAGATCACACATTTTTAAAGGTGTGACGTTTACATTTTTTTATAAGGTCTCTTGCCACACTTATTAGGGGTGTTAGTTATGGGACACCCCACTTACATGTATAAAGGTGTGCAAATGTTTAATGTGCATATACCTCTAACGGAAGAAAATCTATTTCATGCGATTACATCGCGTGCCGATGAAACGATCTGTCGATGACACGTCGTTCGATGAACTGATTTGACCGCCAATGAGTGACGACTGCTCGTAGAATTTCGGGGAAATAATTCTGCCGGCTGCCGGGAGACTCCACCCTACCCAAGAGTTACCTAAGTTTTTGTTTGTTTTCCAACATTCTGAATTAGTACCTTATTAGGCTCCTCCCTTCCCCCTCCCCGTCCCTCTCTCCTCCCTCGTGACGTCACTCGTGGAGGCCTCGTGAAGGTCGTAACCTTCACGAGTGAAGACCTTCGTGACGTCACTCGTGACGTCACTTGTGACTTTTTGTACGAGGGGGTCACTTGCGACCCCCCTCGTATACTTTAAGAAAGTGAGCGGTTTTTTTTTCGTTTTTTTTAATGTAAACCTTTTTATAATGTAGGGCTTGTAACAAAATAGCTCTCAGTGTTTGCATGTCGAACACTTTTTTGAATATCTGACTATTTTACGCGAGACGTACTAAATGCATTTTCGTTCTTCTTGGACCTTATATATGTGGCAGGCAGAATTTGTCTGTCTTCGTACATATATACGGAAGCATAACAGAAGGGAGTCTCCAGGTACCACACAACTTTGATCTAGTCTTCTAAAAATAAGTCGCTTTCTTCCACTCCGATCGGCATACCTGAATCCATGAAACGCGGCACAGAACGCCTTGTGTGATAGTTCCACGCCCTTTGGAAGTCCCGTCGATCCTGACGTGTACAGTACCACCACAACCTCTTCCTCGTTGTCAGAAGGCACGTGGGGCTTGAATGAGGCATCCGACAGTTCTTCAAACTGGAGAACATCAATGAAACTGGGCACGCTTCCGACGGCGAACACCGCCTGCGAAGTAATACAAAATGCTCTTACCTGTTGTGGTTGTTGCCAGGCAGAACAAACTGATGGCCACATATTTCTCGTGACAATATAGGTGAAATTTCCTAAACCTAAATGGAGTGATAATATGTCGACTTCGGGATAATAAACGATAACAGCGCCAACCATTTTCTTTCGTGGGACTTAAAAATTACTTTAGTTGTTGCACTTTAATGTAACGAATAAATGCCAGAGAAGAGTTTTTTTTTTAATTTTGTCTCGTCAATACTTATTCTGAATAAATAAAGCATGATCTGCTTACCTTAACGCACGTGGGTATTATATACTTCGCAACATTCGGTGCCGTTTGTTGATCGACAAGTAGGAAAGTGCAGTGAGAGTCTTCAATTATATAGACCAGCTCCCCTGTAAAAACGCTCTTACATTAGGAAATTCTTTGATTTCAAAAAGGCTGCACCTTATCTTCTACCGAAACGGAGGTGTCTAATGAGCACTCACTTGCCACAGAGCTTGGCTTTGCCATGACGAGGGTCCCGCCCGCGAACACAACCCCAAAAGCTGCCGCTACATTTTCAACTCCGTTGCCAATGTGAGCACACACCCTGGACCCTGGTTTCACACCGTGTTGTTTGAAACCTACAGCGTATCTGCGTATTTTTTCCAACAGCTGACACGCACTCAAGGTTTTATAGTTGTCAACCTAGAAGAAAAGGTAAAAGACAGGTGTTTAAAAAAAAAGTTTCTCTAACCTTGCCTGATCGCATAAAACAAAACAGGGGGTATCGTCATAGTCCTTAGATTACCCTGTCTGGAATCTTTTAATAACGCTACGGAAAAGTTATCCGAAGTACAAATCGAAGCACTATGGGTACGCTGCCGACGTTAGGAGTCAAGCAATTAGATCGCTCGCAGAGTCCTGACGAATGGACGTATGTTCCGGGAAGCCAACCTGGAAAGACGTTATTGGACGCGTCTGCTCTTTAATAGAACACCACTATAACCACAGACCCGTCGAAAATATGAACGATGGATAACGCCACCTATATACTTGAAACCTATGCGTCATGTCGTTTCGGAATAAATTAAACACAAAACAAAGAATTCAACTAGCTGCTTCCAAAACTAAAAAAAGTTTAAAGATTTTAAATTTTTTTTTCTATTTGAATTGTCTTCTTTTTTGTGACAATATTTACTCGGGCGGAAACCGCCCGAGATTCCGGACCAACAAATAGTTTATCTAGGGACCATAGTTAAATCTCATTCCTTCGGCTTTCTCATATGTGAGCCCTAATTTAGCATAACCTTTAACAAATCTTGAATCTAGGAACGCACGAAAAAACAGGACGCTAATAAAATGCTGTACGTATCGGCTTCGTTATATGTTCGTTCTATTACCTGTTTGTTGCGAACTCATTGTTTTAAGTAAGAAGAAAAGATGCGGCTTTCAGCATGTAAGTAAAGTAGCGAAGGCTCGACGACAGTGTTGCCGAACCGCGGGAAGTTTCTCTCTAACATTGCTCCAGGGGACAACGGGGAACTAAACTTGAATGCTCGTAAAAGAAGATATGCTTTTATTTTTTAAAATTTATATGTTACATCCGTTCAAATTAAGTTTACGTTTACACTTTGACGTTAGGCTTTCCATACAAAGTTGGACATTTCCCGCGATTCGGCAACACTGGGCCGACCCGAGCGTACATTGAGCGGCCCCACAAATAAAAAAAAAATGTTTAACGACCTAGTGGAATTTTCCGGACAGGTATTTTTGTCAATTTAACTGATATATGATGTCACCCTTGGGATACATGAATCAACGCTATAGTGCATTCACCCATCAGCTGGCAGTGCGGTGGAAGGTATGTACGTGGAGGACAACGTTACTAGAAAACTCAGTTGGGAAACTTACCCTTGAAATCTTGACCTCTGGCGTCCACCGAGACCGAGCTAAATACGCTAACAGCGCCATCCTTTAGCGACGAGTTGAAACAAGAAAGTTGCTTTATATGCCTACTGCAAGAGTGACAGAATGTTCCCAGAGCACAGAAACTCCCAGGCTTGAGGTGCCAAGATAGCGGCACAATTTTTTTATCTTTACTGTGGTCACCATAAGCTTTTAGAAAGCATGTTTTTGCATAAAAACAGACGGAAAAAGCTCTTTTTGTGGGAACTCTCATTGGGGCTCGTCAAGCTGCATATAAGCAGCTTTTTCCCTTGGTATCCCCCATCATGTGATGAAATAAAAAAAAAAGTTGATGTGATTTGATTTGAGATTAGTACATAATGTCAGGCGCGTGATACCTTTTAAAATCTTTAGTTTGAAAGGTTTTGTGGCACGATTAATATTATTTTCGTACAACCATGTCTCACCGGTGATTTCAGGTAGCGCGTCCTGACCTGGGCGCGTCCTAACTTCGGTAGTAATTCGCGGCGCGTCCGCTTGGAAGACGCGGATGGCATCCCTGCAACCCAATCCACCATATGTGTTTTGGCGCCAAAATCGCCGATTAAAGCCAAAATAGAACAGTAACAGGGGAGGGAAGCTATTGAATGTGATACCCCCGTACCAATGTAAGCAGCCGTGCAGTTCCCCGAGTGTCCGCTGCGGAAGAAATGGCGGCGTTGCGATCTCCATTAGCTCGGTTCTCGAGTACGGATCGGTGCCACTTTCTCAGAGCAGGCTATATGGCAGTTTCCCAACTGAGTTGTTCTAGTAACGTTGGTGGAGGCCGATTTCGCTTTCGCCACGTGGTCGCGCTGTCGCTGATACCCAAGCAAAGAGCGGAGTGAGGTGACGAAAGGGGGACTGTTGATTTGCCCGGCGAGCGTCTACCATTCTCCGTACTTTCGGCTTAGGGCTGAACGGAGCTCAGTTCAGAGGAACGGAGCACGTTTAGAACAGGCTCCTGTCGGGTGCCCAAACATCCTGTTCTTATTTCTACACGGACAGAGCCACGCTTTCGCAAGAGCCGGACAAAAAAAGAAAGATACGGCCTTATACAAATATAGTAAACCCGTTTTTTTTTTTACCCTACCCCCAGTTTGCTAATTATTTCAAAGCGCTCGATGTGTGTGTATTTGCTTAACAATATAGCGCAGAATGCTTTCCTCTTTTTGCAGACCTCTTAACCTTAATTTAGTTTGAGCTTATTGCAGTTCTTTTATATTTTCATTCCTATGAGCTGGCTGCTCCTTTTCTGTTTAGCGGTCCAAATAAAAAAAATCCGAGGTTGCTAAATGCCATCGGCATTTCAGTAACTTACTTCTAAACGAAGAGTTATGTTAACATAGCAGCCCGGCCTGAGGTCCTGATTGTATATATAGATATTGTCTGAAAAATGCGCTGCAGACAGCAGCTGAGAATGGTTAGACTGAGCATGGTAGTGCTGACCCCCAAGTCAAACAGCAGGTGAATTTAAAAAAATGTAAGTAGCCTACTCATGAAGCACTTTTGACATCAGCGGATACTCTTGCATCACCACCATGTACAGCAGACATTTTAACCATTTTGTGCCCCTACAAGTATGCAATTTGTTTCGAACCCCACACTAATGTATAGATTGAAACCAATACTCACAATGATTGTCTTGTTCGATAATGTTCTCAAGCGTTGCTCTATGAGTTCGGGAGCGCAGCTGTTTCCAATTTCGATGTCCGGAAAAGGCGAGTGTATTACTCGGTTCACAATTCGAGCGGCCATACCTAGCGGTTTTTGTTTTCTAAAAGTACAAAATGGGGGCATTAGAACATATTTTTCTAGAAACATGACAGAGAATACAATGTCATTGGCTTTATTGCTCACTAGGGCAGAAGCAGTGGAATTATAGAACCTATCTTCATGATTCTACTGCGATGGAATAACATAATTAAGAATCTAAATCAAATTTAAAGTCAAATTTGGGGGTTTTACGTGCCAAACCAACGACGGGCATCTGGCACGCCCCAGCGGAGGACTGAGGATTAATTTCGACCACCTGGGGATCTTTTGACGTGCAACCGAAAGCTCGGTTACACGGCGCCTTCTCCGCAATAAGCCTCCGTCATATTGCGGGCACCTCGGTCGGGATTCGAACATAATTAAGAATCTAGTTGCTCAGTTGTTCAGTGTGGTTTCTAGTTTAAAACAGGTACGTTTTTGCACAGAAACGCAATACAATGAGAAAATGCAAGTTAGGCGGTGGCGTTTGTTGTAAAAAGTGACACTATAGCCTTGTAACGACGTTTACGAAAGAACTCCACGGGCGGGCTCTTCTCTTGCGAAGAACTACGTAGTGCAAAGAGAAACACGCCACTCACCACAACGCTCTGGCACCGTTCGTCCACAAGAGAAGGGGAGCGCTTTTATAGAATGTGCACACCTGCGTATTAACCAGGTGTGGAATTTACATCTGTAATCGCGTCCTTATTTCCACGAAACCAGCTGCAAGCCGGAGTCGTGGCGCAAGGAGTCTCTGCCACGCAAGCACCGCTGATATCCGAACACGCGTAACGCCTGCCGGCGTTGCTGCATGTGACCACTCAGCGTCCATTTCGAGCAGCAGCCAATCCGGAACGACCGGCGTTTCCATAGCGAGTGTCCCTTGCCGTTTAAAAAAACGTTACCCGACACCATTCGAGAGCCCCGGCTGCGTGGCAGAAGTAACATCGCAGCCCCCCAGGGGGCCCCGCCGGAGATGGAGAGAGAAGAGACGATCTGGGGGATTATCGGCCGAAGCGGTCGCAAAATTGGTCCCCAGTCAAGTTAGTTGTGTAATTAATCAGAGCAGTAAACCATATTTGTAGGAACAATAGTCCGATTTCTATACCTGCTTGTTGTACAATAAATCATCGCAAGCGGTTGTGGGAAAACTTCGAACGCAGCCTCGAATTACATGATGCCGAACGTTGCGGAGTTCGTTCGCGCAAAGCTTGTACATGCAGTCAATTCGAAACGCAGTCGACTGCACCCAACAGCTAAGAAGAAATCCCTATTGCTTCTTGTGGCTCACCTTTTGCAAGAGAAATTTTTGGAAAACATGCCGGCACACAGTGACAACGTCGACGTGGCCTAGCCGGTCTTGGCTTGATCTCGCAAGCTTCTGCGACTTCTGCAGAAAGCCATTTGAGCAAAGGCGATTAAATGTATAGGTTTATAGTTTTGTTCCCTAAGATCGTACGTTCTTCAAAAATACTCGCGGAACTTTTTGCGTAAGCGTGATAAATTAATAAAGATCTTCAGATTTGAACCAAATCTTACGCTGTCTTCTGCAAGAGAGGCTGTTTAAGTGAAAGCTATCAACGTTCATTCGTTCAATACATCATTGCTATTGAACTACGAATATCTAAAATTGAACTCACCCTGAAAGTAAATTCTTCATTTACCTCTAAGGTCTTAGATGTAGGCTCATAACCAGCGGGAAGGTGCTGCTAGGCTTGCTGTTAGTAATCATATAAAACAGCAGTCTTATTACGGTATACGTTTAATTTCCATGTACTCCGAATCGGATCGTTTTTGCACTCAGTGAAGAGGAACAAACTGCTGATATGTAAATTATCGGTATTATAACTATCGTCTCAAACAGAAATATGTAAGTGCTAAATCAAAAGTCATATTTTGCACACTGCCCTGCAGGAGCAAACCATGTCAGCGTCCTGAGTTTAGTGCGCGCCGCAGATGTTCATCGGCGTATCGCTGTACTGTACACTCGCAGGCGATATGAAGGTAAACGGCGGACCGGCGACCGGTGCGTGCTATCAGCGCCATGATGCGGCTGCCGTGGCGGCTCGCTTTCTTATCGCTCGCTTCGCCGAGCGCTTAGATTGAGCGCCGTTCTCAGCTCTGATGCTATTCCCTGCAGAAAATCTGGAAGTGGGTTTCGATTTCGGCATCGCCTTTTGTGTGCGCTGGGCCCCCGTCATTGCCGGCAAATGACTTGCACATTGCACGGGAACTAGAGCGGACGTTGTTTGGCATGGTTTATTAGTGAGTCAACCGCTTTTTTGATTCATGAGAGAACGCTATACTTCGTTTCAGCTTAGATCCGACCGCGGCCTATGTTATGAGACGAAGGGCCAATCATACAGCGTAAAAAGCGCTGCCTCATGGCGTGCTCTTTGCGCTTTATAAAACTAGCCGGCAGTGGAGCACGCACAGAGAAACGGCGAATACCGGCTGGTCCTATCAACTGCAGAAAGCACGCCATGACGTTGTGCCTCTTTCGCTGTTTGATTGGCCCTTCGGCTTATTACATCGGCCGCGCTCGGACTTAAGCTGAAACGAAGTATAATAACTGCGAATGCTAATAATAACTGTTCTTCTTAAGGAACGGAAAGGATAAGTTACATTTTGATTTGTTCCGCAGCTTTCCGGTTTAGCACAAATCACCAAAAAAAACATTACTAAATCACATTGTATACCGATAGCGTCTGAAAGGCTCCTTCCGCAATCCTCGCGCTTTCTGCGGGGAGTAGCAGCAGAGCTGCGAAGCTGAGTAGAGCGCTCGATTAACCTCGGTGAAGAGCGCGATAAGAAAGCGAGCCGCCACGGCAGCCGCTTCATGGTGCTGATAGCACGGTCCGGCGTTCACCTTCATATAGCCTGCGGGTATACATACTGACAAACAGCTAAATGGCTGTAAGCTACTGGAGTCGGCCAACCCATAAAATAAAACTCGAATGAAACGAATATTGCCACCCGCAGGGCCGAGAAAGCTGCGCTCGGACGCGGACTTTCGGAAGATTCGCGTTCGTTGTCGCACCAGACGTAGCTTTCCCCCTGCTTTCTTGTTCTCGAAAGTGCCACTTCATCCTCGCCCCGAGCGCACGACGTTGGAACATTCTTTGCCGAACTTTTGAAATAGTGACGCACTGTAGATAAGCAGCTGCCCGCGACCTTGTCGAGTTAGTCTCGCTCTCACTCTCTGTTACGCCACCCAATCGCCGCCCGCTTTTTCGCTGCCTTGACGCTCTTTATTTACTTATTTTGTTTGGCACAAGTTTGCCTATTCAACCTTTATTTTTCGTTTCACTGTTCATCTTCTTGTCCCCTTCATTCGTGACAATATGGTGATGATCGTAGACTACCAGGCCAGACCACTTATTAAGTTTTTGTGTGTGCTTTTAGACAGCGGGTAAGTAGTCATCCGCAATGGGCGTCTGTGGCGCCCGCTGTAGATGAGGGTGCGGTACGACTGCTAGCCTGGGGTCTTCAACGTGCATCACGCAGTATTAATACCCGGTCCCACGCCGGTACGATGCTCATCCAGATCGAAAAGCTCAGGGCCGGGGACTGACTAGTTCATCGGATGCAACACGCTGTTCGAGAGTATGATAATTCTATGGTTCCGAACATTAATAACCGCGGCCGGTTGATATTAGCCGACATATGTCAGTTTCCGAAAAATTCTCACATTGCGTCATATTGTGTAAATTGAGGCATTCATTTTAAATGTATAACTCCAGAACATTTTCTAGATTTTAGGGTTGCTGAGGTTTACTCTGGTGGAAGTGTCCCTGAATTACAAGGCGTCACATTTTGTTTGATGCCTTATGTAGTTTTGTAGATATCTTATCTCAAAGTTTTATTTCGGGGGTCTACGGCGAAACCGAACCTACCGGATAGAGTGCAATGGAAACCCTTGGGATCAGCTGCATGGCCATCGTGTGAGGAAAAGTTCGTGTTGCGGTACCGCAAAACGTAGGACTGGCCCAGTCGCAAGTAGGTTGCCTTCATGTGCGCTTTGCTTAAGGCTGGTTCACACATTTGCAACAGTTACGTTCGCATGCAGCCGAAACAACCGTAATGACCAAAACACCGCAACAACCCTCACTCATGGATTACATCGCGAAGCTACTTCTTGCATCGCTTGCCATGCTGATCGAGTATGGCAAACACCTGTCCCGGTGACTTTGTCGTTACGGGCGTTTCGGTTGCATGTGAACACAAGCAACGCAGATGTGTGAACCAGCCGTTAGGGTGATGACATTCGGCCTTTTTTTTTTTTTTTCAACGCTTATTATTATTTTTTGCTCCGAAGTGCGTGAAAGAGCGTGTCCCTGCACGCGCTTGTGGCACGGACTGTCCTCGTCGACATTTTGTTTTCGAGGATTACTTCGTATTTTCATCGTAAGCGCGTGCTATTAGCATCGGGTCCCACGAGGAGCCGCAGTGATGGTGAGAGTTCGCCTTCGCTGGAGCTCTGCAAAAATCGACTGTTTTGGCCATTTTGTGGAACATTTTATGCGCCCAAATGCTTATACGGACAACTTCACGGGGCCAATGACCTCCAGGACAGGCTTTGACGAAAGGACCGATGAGCGAATTTCGCTAATCGGGGGAGAAACGGCGAGCGACGCCGGAACGCTATTTTTACCAACGGTGCTAGAACTATCCGCTAGGCCTATAGCACGCCGGGCCGTTCCGGCGGCGCCGGGACCGCGGCGCCTGCTTCGCCATCGCCGTTTATGGCGGCGCACGTGGACGAGCAAGTGAGCATGCGGAACGCTGCGGACATAAAAAAAATCCGCGATGGAGGCAACCGAAGGACCTAGGGCGAGAGCATGGCCGAAGAAACGAGGACTCGAGAAGAGGCAGGACGCCGGGGAAGCTGAGCTAGGTTCGAAGGAACACAAGAAAAAAAGGCAAAACAACAGGAACGGCGTGGACGATCGCGGCGGCGGCAGCGGCGGCAGCGGCGGCGGCGGCGGCGATGGTAACGGCGA